TAATCTTACTCCTGAAGTCATTGACAAACCACAGACAACTCGGCAACCAGGCCTCACGTGTAAAAGCAAATATTCCGAGTCAGTTATGCTCAAATATTCTTTTTTCCTCCTATACACAGCAGCATGGTTGGCTTTGCACATCTCTCGACACACTCAACAATGCAACAATGGGTGAGGGAAAACAGTGAGAGTCACAGCAGACGGGCAAAAGACTCCAGGGAAAATCTTCAGTCTACTTTCCTGAACGGACTGTAAAACCACAGAATGCGATGACATAACTCGAGAGACGGACACAAAGGCCCACACTCTGTTATCTTTCCAGACAGATAGAGGCCAACAACCTTTCCTGAGCCAAAAAAAAAAACAGACGAAGGAGAGCCAGAAGTCTTTCTCCTATATCAATAGAAACAAAACAAGAACCTGAGATGGACTTTAAGCTTATCTGGATGGAACTGTTGCCAAAATGACAAATCACGGTGTTGACAGCTGTGTACAGAATCGAACCTTCTTCCTCTTACTTCTGGTCCAGTTGTCGGCAAGAGAAGAGCGTCGACAAGCCGTCACTCCCTCACGGCATAACCTGTGTCTAGTGGGAGAGAAGTAGGCTGGAAGAAGCTTGCAAAAAGTAGATCTGCGGTTTAGGAAAAGAAAACAACAAACAAGATGCGAATGATATTCATGGATAGTTAAGATGACTCTTATATAGAATCTAATGAATTTGTTAATGTATAAAATGCATACGGACTGTTCAGTGTAAGACTATTTCATAGTTCACTTTTCAAAATGGCGTACGGTGGAGTCTTACCCTAAGCAGTTGATATGTCATTTCATTGTACAAACAGTATCTCGCTGGTGCTCAACGCTAACTCATTAACTCAAAAGCTTACAAAAACGTAATGATTTACAATAGATCAGCTCTCCATTCTAAAGACAAAATACGCAAACATTTTATAATCCTGTCCCTTTAATCCAAATCTGGTTTCATTTCTGTCAAAGTCTTCAAAAGAATTGTCAAGCTTCTTGTACCTCCAAACTGTATCAACACATCAGACACGGTAAGAGATCCAAGCTTGTGTAGATCAGTGTTTTTCTTAAAAAAAACAACCCATGTGAAACCATTTCATGTTGTTCTATCTAAATCAGCATTTTAGTCCTAGTATGCAATATAAGTAAGAAAGAGCACTCATATGGCTTTATGCAGTTGCGAGTGCCGTGAAACTCGAACTAAAACTAACAAAGAATTTTCAGATGATTCATTCTGTGTATCTGCATTGATCATAAGAAACCGATAGCAATATGGAGCCTGCATTGCTTACATTTTTCCAAAGACAGTCCAACAAAACAATGAAAAGAAGAGTAATTACAACAGACATGGTGAACTGTCATATGTCTCAAACCTTTAGTAGCTATGATCTCTTTAAAGCAATGTAATTGTACAGTTAAATAAAACAAAGTAAAACTTTCAGTTTATACTGTCACCTCGTTACACTTTTAGATCACTTAGACCATAGCAAAGCATTAAGGGCTAATAGAAACAGATACCGGTTCCATGAAATAATTTCTTTAAACAATACTATTATTGATAAAGTTGATAAAGCAACTTTAGGAGTCAAAATACTTGACTCGCCAGTCACTTTAACTCTCACAGTACCTGACACAAGTACATTGGCACTATGTCTTTGGTAAGCTCACATTTATGGGCTGAAACATGGAGCACAAGAATCAAGAACAAAGATTTACGTAATTCCCTTCAGGAGCTCTCTAGCTTTTAAAAGACTGAACTTTAATATCTTCAAATCAAAGCTTGCAACACAACAGTAAGAGAAGTCACGGAGACACCATTTGGAGAGAATACTGGAGAACAAGCACAAGGAACTTTAAAACTTCAGCACAAAATGGCAACAAAAAAAGCTCCAGGACAAAGCAGAAGACAATGCGAAGGACAGCCTCCCTCTTTCATCTTTACACAAGTGCACCCAGATCGTATGGACATACAAAGTACAGAGACATCATAGTATCGCAGAAATTTATCAGTGAAGTTTGCTTGCATAAGACTCACGTTGAATCTCAGAGACTAACGACAACAAGAATGATATGGACAAGAAAAATAACTTATGATATTTTCCATAAAAAAACAAACCGCTCTGTAATAAAACAATATCAGTTAAACTCATTACTATTCCAATGCCATTTTTCTCATACTCGTGTCAAACACTCATGGAAACAATTTTTTAAAATGGTCATTCATATTTTTAAAACAAATCTGACTTGGGTAAAACAGGAAAGTATCCCGAACAAACACTACATAAGGCATTGATCTATTGTGCAGAGTAGCAAATAAGATAAGAAAAAGTGAGGAAACTATACATATGGAAAAACCTGCAGAACCTGTATATTCACACTTGCAACATTTTAAAAAAAGATGTGCTGTGCAGTGAGAAAAGATGAGTCTCTTGCTTAACTGGGCAGAGGATAAGTTGAGGAGAGTAAATGTCAGTGTCTGTCCGAAAGTAAAATTCAGAGTTTTTTTTCTTAATCGACAGAAGTACAAGAAAAGGCTAGACTACTCATGAACTCATTAATTGTCCTGACACCCCCCCCCCCCCCAACATACTGTCACTTACCTTTTTTTAATCTAGAAACTTTAAAAGATTTTTATTGATACTTCAAGTGAGAGGGGGAGACAAGAAGATATTTTTACTGCAGTTAGAGACAAATCTTAAGAAAAAAAAATCCTAGCTATTTGAAAGAATATGATTTTAATAGCTTCTCTTCCTTCAAACCCCCTCCCCCCCCCCCCCAAAAAAAAAAGAAAATAAAAAAAAAGAAAATCAATATCCTCCAAAGCCCAAATTTTCACAAGAGAATCATTAAAGCTTGCTGCACTACAAAATGTACAAACAAGGACAGTAAACAATTCTGAAATTAGCTGTGCATCTTATTCATAAGAAAGATACAATCCACAGTTGTACCCTTATCTATACAAAAAAAGCATGGTAAAAGATAACAGAAAATAGTAGATTTCTCAAATATATCAAAGAGATTTTAGTATACAGTACACTTGGAAGAGAATATGATTGGAAAATCAGAGTAATGCATTAAAAAACAGTTTCCATAGCAGCGAGTCCTTTACTTGCTTGATGCAGATCCCCAAACAATCTCAATGAACCCATGCATGCTTCTGTGTGTGGCCAAAACTTCTTTACAGAACTAAAAAGATCCATATAATATATATATAAGAGTAGGTCTGAGACTTAAACCGATGAAGGTTGCTTTTTCTTTCAAAGTGAGGAGAATAACAATACAACTTTCCAGTTCCTTTTTACACAGACTGGACTCAAAGTATGCAAGCACGGTGTTCAGCTTGCCAGATGATTTAAGGGCAGTAACGGCGGTACAAAATACAAAATCCCAGTACCGAAGAGACAAACTTGCCTCCTAGTATCTGACTTGTTTGCATTCTTCTTTTGTACTCCACTGCTCAGCCCATTAGAAACATGAAACTGGAATGTTCCATAACAAAAAAGAAAAAGGCTACAAAAAAGAGTGAAATTACAAGTACCGAGCGAGAACAATAAAAATGTGATCACAGCATTCCACTTATCGTGTGAACCCCACTTTAGACTGATATCGTCACTCATCCTGAATGATACAGTATCAAGCATCAGAACAATAAATGTCTCAAAAGTTTCATACAGATATGGATGTTCATACACTAAAAATGTGATTCTCATTTGCAACATATTGCACGAAGACCGTGTAAAAATACAAACAGTCATAGCATCCACCAGAGGCCGTGCCACACTATTTCTCGCTTCCCCTCAGAATGAGGCATATGTCACTAAGAGGCAATGCATTATTGACAGCTGACAGAACAGAAGTTCTCTTGTTACTATATGTGTCACGACGCGGTGGAATCAGGCGTTCGTCAATTTTTGGGTCTAGGGAGTTATTGGTATCAACTTAAACATTGTTCATTTTCCTTGTTTTCGATGAAAAGAATATCCATTTGTCTTGAATAGAAATCGAGGTAGTAGCCATTGAAGGAGGTGGGTTGCCTGGTTTCTGAAGTAAATTTAGCAAGAAAATGTCCGCCAAAGTTTGGTGACTTCTATAGCTTTAACAGCCCTTGGAAACTGCAAATTTACGTTTTCTGTGCCTTTGATGAAAGTTTTTCCATAAAATCCACACATAGAAGTGTTTTGGATGGACACACAAGGTGTTAAGCCAAAAAACAAAAATTTGAAAAAAAATCTGAAACTGGCAAAAAAATTACGATTTCTCGGATTTCATTATTTTGACGAGCGTGTGATTTCACCATGATGCCTCACATATGGTCTCTGATAAAAACCAAACATCTTTTCTCTTCTCTCCCAAACCTGTTCCTCAAAACAAGGGGAGGGGAGCAGAGTAAACTAAAAAGGGGGAGGGGGGTTGGGACTGAAAAGAATAGAAATAATGGACTTCCTGACTTTTACTTTTTGTCATAGGGAAACTTAATTTAATCTTGAGTGAATTTTTTCTCCCATTCTGTTGTGTAACACACCCTAGTGACACATACCTTATTAAGACAGGCGGCAAGCCATACCAGACACAGTTTCAATTGCAAAAAAGGCAGAGATCTGTCATGATTGATGTTTGAATGACAATAAGCCCCTGTCTGGGAAAAGTCCAGACCACACTCATGGTGACATTGGCAAGATTGTTCTGTCACATCTCCTCAGCTCATGCACAGCTCGGTCATACAGTTGGAAGTCTTTACAAGTATAATATATTATATAAAAGTAAAAGCTTCCAGGTTGTTTTGATGGTCAATGGGCTTATCATTATTATATATGTTTGTGCTAAAATATTGCAGATTGAATAACTTATTTTCTAACTAATTCCAGTTGTGAATTTGAAGAGACAAAAGCTTTCTCAGCACTTTATTGCTTACAACCATAAATCAGATTGTGGATATAAATCTGCAGTGCTGTTGTATCAATTGCTATAGGAGGAAAATTGTACATTGATAAGCAAAGATTATCCTGCTGTGGTCCAGTTCTAACTATGTTGAAACACAAAATTGCTTGTCTGAGTCATTGTGGCACTTTGAGTCATCGTCAGTGAAGATTTCTCATGTTGATCTGGTATGAATCATTACAGCTGATGGTTGACAAACGGGGTACAAATAATTTCCCTTCAAAAACTTTAAGACTTTTTCAATAACTTTGCTTGCGTAGCTTAATGTCTGTGAAGTCACAAGCAATAGATACGTCCATATATGACTTTTGAGAACCACTGCAAGCTGTAAAAAAAGATGATTCAAAATGGGAAATTGTGTCACAAATGTCTCCCTACAGGTGACAATAAAGTAAAAGTGACTTGTTCCAAATCAAAAAGTTCAACATATGAGTGGTTCACTGGTTCCATGCCTCGCACCCAAAGATTAGTGCTAAACGTTCAACAAAGTCTGCAGTACACAAGGAGTTTTAATGAGACTATTCTGAATTCATAAAGTATTGAGTCCATTGTTGTCTAAAGTTTGCATGTCTTGTGTCCAGTAATGATCAGGGTAAACACACGGTAATCAAAAGTAGGCAGCAGCAGGTCAAGTCAACAGTCAGTAGCCAACACAGAGTCAGACAGGCACTGTGTCTAGGATCCACTGATCGGTCGAGGAACAGTGCTTAGGAAACTGATCTAAAAAAATATTACTTCCCCTAGGCATCCTGCAGATCATAAACTAAAATTATTTTTAAAATATGTCTTGCAACAAGGCATGAAAAGAAGTTTGCTTAAAATCTGTACGCTTTTCATTCGGATTGATGACATTGTCCCTTTGACTGAGCTTTGTTGTTTACTCTTCACCTTTCAAACGAAAAGATAACTTCACACCAAATTTGTTTTTTTAAGGGACAAAAGTGTTTAATGAAAAGCGTTTTACTAAAATAAAATAATCTTGACATTTTTCAAGACAATAGAATTTCTTATATTAAAAAGAAAGCAGCAAAGAGACCTTATAAATTATAATTCTAAAAAACCGACTGACTTGTAACCGTGCTGAGACCATAGACACAGTGCATGTGAGACGAGACAACACTACAGAAGCAATTCATTAAGAGCGTCAAGACAAGATGCCTAAGGTGACAATGCCTTGCGCGTTCTTGAGAATGTTAACAGCCTCTTCGTGCGTGTACCCCTCCAGCGACTGCCCATTAACCGAGAGGATCTGGTCTCCCCGGGACAGCGAGCCCTCATCGGCAGCAGCCCCCTTGTTGAAAACTGTCTTCACATAGATCGGCAGATCTCCATGCGGGCTCCCGTGGCCGCCTACTATCGAGAAACCTAAACCCTCCGGGCCTTTATTCAGCATGATGGTTTTGAACTGAGGAGGCTGGCTGCACGTCCGAGGGAGTCGGGGGAGGGAGACAAGAAACACATTCAGCATTATCAATAACTTGACTTTTTAAAAAAAATGTCAGTAAAATGCCTACCCTTTCCAGTATACAGTCCTCGACATTCTCAGAGTTCAGAGTGATGAGACAAAGAAGAAGAATCTTGTTTATCATTCAGGGATGGGCAGAACAAAACCAAAAAAATTTAAAAACTAAACAAGCTGAAATTTGATACCAAAAGCCTTACATCTAGTGCCTAAATTCAAATTGCAAAACAAAATCCCAGAGCAAATTTTCAGTTTCCTTTTCCTCTGAAATAAAAAATGTACTTTCAACTGAAGAAAACTCTAGAAAATGCCCATCCCTGAAACATGAGAAAAGAGCATTGCAACAAGACACATGAAGAAGCAAATGATTGAACACAGAACTGTCACATGAAAGAGTTTCGTCTGGACAATAGAGTGCAGGAGACAAACATTACCATGTATGCTCCGAGTGAACACAAGAGAGACACAGACATTTTTACAGACAAGACGTACACATTTAAAAAAAAGCGAAAGTGTAGACTGAGATATTTTCCATACACACACACAGAGCCTTGTAGCACTACACATGGACAGCGTGACATTTCTCGATTGTCTCATTTCTTACTACTCTAAGATTTCAAACCATGGCTGTAAGATGTCGGTTTGGTATGAATAAATAGAATTAAACATTGAGTAATCAAAAGGACCTTCAGCAGAATGTGCTTCTTTTTGTGTATTTCAAAAGTAATATTCTCATTTACAGTTAATTAAGTTTGGTATACATGTACATGTATTATGGTGAAGCAACTGGACTTCTGACATTTTACAGGGAAAATTCAACAAACTTTAAAAGGGACTAAGACTGAGTCTCAGTGCTTTAAGTGCCCACAGTGCTGAGAGATTAAAAAAATGCCTATAAAAAAAGAGTACCTGAATTTACTCAAAACTTCTCCATGGGTTTAAAATTGATGCCAGCTGATGTTTTTTTGTGAGTAGGACTTTATGTCGTAAAACTCAGCAAAACATCTAAGCTTGTTAAATTTCATCATATGTAGGGTTAAAATCCTGTACTAAAACTGACCTAAAGTGCTTTCAACAAATAAGGCCTAGTGTGGTAAAGGTGAAAGACAACAGTATACAGTGGACGCAGAGATAGAGAGAGAAATCGACATAGACAGACACAACCGTCAATACCAACATCAATAGCACAGACATAGTGTTGCACTTGAAAAGTTTCACATTGGAGTGGACATGAAACAATATACACATGGAGTCAAACTTAAGATTGTGAAGTGTAAGACTACATACATATTATTGTATAGCTAACAAACCATTCCCCCCACCCCAAAACCAAGAAAAGAGTAACTAGTTATACTGTATGATTAATACTCATACATCTAAAAAAATACCCTTTGAAGGAAGGTGAAGAGTTGTGGGATCTCATTGAAAAGCAAACTAGTTATTCTCTTTAACAGGAAAATCTAAAAAGGGATTTTGGAACCCCTCATTTTTACAAATCTTGAATGCATCTTTTTTGGGAGCTCCATAGAATTGCTGTTACTGTTAGCTTTTCTCAACATATAACTTGGGCAGGTTAAGAACTAGAAAAATTCTCAAAAATCATCTGCTCCTGAAATGAAGATGCCAATTTTACAATGGAAAGTATTCTGTCTTACGATTCACTGTCTTTGCTTGAACAAAGGCATGATGTGCAGCCAGTAACAGTAGAGAGAACAAAGACACTTACCCATCATCGTCCATCTCAATGTTGACATCCTTCAGGGTCATGTCCGACATATCACCGCTGACTTGTCGGGACCTCTGACCGCTGATGGACACTGCTTCACCTTTAGAGGGACATTACATCATCAGTAAACTTAGTAACTTAATTATAGTGAAAAACTTTCACCTAGGTCTTTTAAAATGACAAAGAATTTGTCTTTGAACACCCTGCATAAAATTTAGCTTCACATTTATAACATGAATAAATATCCATGTTTGACTAGAAAGCCTATTTTGTAAGTTAAAACACAATGAAAATTCAAGACCTTCTATGAATAATTATAGCAGAGAGAACCCTAAAATAATATACAGTACACAGGTGCAGTATCACTCAAATATCTGGTTCCCAAACCAAATTGGAACCCCATACTTTCCTCCGCAATGAAATCCATCAAGAACTTCCACAAAATTAGATACGTCGCTAACTTAGAATTAGGGCCTACAAAGTTCTATCTGCTCTGTACCTTGTCTTGATAAATTTGACGTTAAATATTTAGAGTTTTATAACATATCAAGCTTTTTCAAATGTAAATCTCTGAATATCTTGATAACAACTCCGAATAATCTAGCATTTTGAAAGAGGAGATGGAACATTTGGTTTTTGACCGTATAGTCTTAGTAACTGAAAATGGCCAAGAATGTCAGAAAAAAGTTTGTAATTCTAGCGTAGGGAAGTTGCAAGATAAAGCAAAAAAAGAGTTTTGGTAAAGTGAGAAAACAACACTAGCAATAAAGCCAAGCCAACCGCCTGTCAGCGCTCTCACCTTGCATGACGTGTAGTGTGATCTTCTTGGAGGCTCTAAGGCTACTGACCACCTGGTCATGTGACCAGCCATCGGTGGACACTCCGTTGACGCTCAGGATCTTGTCACCGACCTGGTCATAAAATTAACAAAATTGATTTAGTCATAGAGACTTATTCCAAAGAATGGCTTTAAGGTAATTACTTAGCTTCATTTAAAAGGAAAAAACTTGTGACTTGAAAGACATGAAAAAGTTAAGAAAATTGAAAAAGTTCTTTGATGAACCCTGAATAAGACAACTCATAATATAAACACACATACTAACACATTTGAAATGAAATATCCCTGCCAGAGACCTGTGCTAACTTGAAACAAACATTTATGACTCATTGCTTTACTTTATCCTTCCTCTTGTACTGTTAGATGTTGAGGGGAGGTGCAATATTTGGTCAAGGGCTATGGCCGCTATGTGGGTAGCTTCTGTTGTTGATATATTATTCTGTTGGAAGACCTATTTGAAGCCGTCTAGCAAAGTTTGACAATCAATAAAAAGAATAAGTTTGCCAACCATTAATGTACAAAGCAACAGATTACACAGGATCATATATATATTCCCCTCTCAGTGCATTTGTAAAAAGATAGAACCATATACTCAGTGCATGCTGCAGAAAGTTTTGTCAAATCTCTCAAAATGTTTCGTCAAATCTCTATTTGACATGCTTTGATACATTTGAAGGCAACCAGATTTTCTGTCATAGAGAGGCAAACACTATCATTTTGGCCCAATTTGATAAGGTCATGATTTTCTTGGTCACAATTGCATGCAATTGATGAAAAACATGTCTAACAGCCAATCAAGAGGTCATTTGATGTCAGACCTTTCGATAGCCGAAAAAACGGTATGCCTGTATAGAACTACCTAGTCAAATTGGACGAAGAAATGCAGAGGTCTATTTGATATGGTATGTCCTGAACAACCCCATTTCCTGACCCGATCCGATCTGATCATACACACTGGGTCAATTCGAGTAACGGCCATCCATCCTTACCCTCAATTTCTGTGAGATGGCTGCAGGTCCTGTCGGGTTCATCGACGCGATGATGACTGGGGCATCTCCGATAGGACTGTTGACACCGCCCGCTATACTCAGACCAAATGAACCGGACACGTCTTGCTCCAAGTCCACTATTCTCAAATGGCTTGCATCTTCACTTGCATCTGCACGATTCACCAAGAGAAATATCAGAGATGAAAGAGAAATTGAGAGAAACTTAGATGAAACCAATTCAGTGTCTCATTAACATATGTACCTCAATTGCCAGATTGAATTTCAAGCAATTCTGAGGCTCACAATGTGACAGAGACAAGTTTTATTGACCTCACAACAACAACGAATTCTCCCTTTCAACATTCTAGGGTCCATTGACTTCCAAATTATTGGTCTACATCATGACAATAAATTATCAAACACTTCTTTGAAATGGATAGTTTGTCACTGCTTATGACAATGACAGCCACACCTTATATCACCCCTATAGTGGATGAGTAGCCGGCATTTTAAAAGGTATTGTTGCATCCTGCAAAATTCTTAATAAATAATTTGAGCTTTGAGCATATAGTTCTGAGGATTGGTGACAAAATGTGACCTTAAGGCCCCTTCCACCATCCACCCCTCCCAGGTTTTTGAGAAATGCTGCTTAAAACTGTTTTGTTACCCTGAAACTAAAGGTAGCAAACTTAGCCAGTGTATATGACTTGCGAACAAAATACTATTTTTCTCAACTTGTGATAATGGAAACTATTTTGTGTGAAATTATATTTCAAAAAACTTCCCAACAACAAAAGAAAGCTGTCAGGCTGAGCCTCATGATGAGACACTAAACTGAGTGATTTTATTGACGGATCACGGGAACAACTACGCCAATTTGAGACCTTCCGAGTCTAATTTAGCCCCATGAAATAAGATGAAACAACACCCTACCTGGCTTTGATTAATGGTAAATGGTGGTAAACATTCTACACCCCCACACACAATTTAGATAATTCAGGGGGCGGGTTGCTTCAAACCTTTATGTCTGAGCCCATCCAGGCAGAGTAGGACACAGCAGTCTGGCACAAGGACTGAGATACTCCATAACCAGACTTGCCCACACGTAAATCAAACTCTAGTCTTTTGCAAGCAACCATAAAGAGCCTAACTGTAACATTATGAAATCGTAAAAGTGAGTTGTTACACAATATAGCCTAAAATCAGCGAATGTAACTTTGTATTGAGTGTTCCTATCTCATAGTTTCCTTCACTGAGTAGCTCTGGCTGTCACACAGCGAGTCACATTTTTCTAAAACAGGAAGTCAATGATGAGCCCTCTGTTTCGTTTGTTTGAGTAAAGAGAAGCACATCTGCACGATAATGGTCATTAAGTGAAGGGAAAGAGTAAGACAGAGAGACGAAACAAACGCAGTAGAGGGAAAGAAAAGATCAGTAGGACCTACCAGTGGTGCCCTCCTACAGCCTGTACATAAGAGCCTTGCGACTCAGACACCAGGAGACAAAAACAGAAAAAGGAGGAAGAAGAAGGGATGAGAAGAAGCAGAGAGAAAGAAAAGCCATACGTCTTAGAACTACAAGCAGCTTGTCTACCCAAGTCTCAACAACAACATAATTATCAACAAAGCAACTGGCACAAGACACTGCCTATAACTTCCTTGCTTCAGTACACAGAGACATAACCCCAATGTGGAAGAGAAAAATTATCAATGGTGGCAAAATGTGGATTCTACTGGCATGCAAAGCTCTGAGCAGTCATAATCAACATCACAATCAACCAAAGACATACTGCTCTGATTTTTGACGCATGCATGTATCAGTGCAAGCATTGTGGAGTGTTTGCAATTCTGCTGAGTACAACACCACCAACGGAGTTGTTACTAAAATATAAAATAAGCAAATGAAATGTAACTTTGTATTCAATGTCTCAGTCTTTCGTGGTTTCCCTTACTAAGTAACCCCGGCTGTCATGCAGTGAGCAACATTTTGTTCACGGGGAACCATCTACAGCACGTGGAACACCTGCGCAGATTAAAAAAGGGCAATTCCAACAGCTAAAAAAAATTAAAAAAGTAAGCGAAACCATAGCAACATAGAAATGAAACACCATGTATTAAATGAGCTTCGTTGAAACTAAAAAAAAAAAAATTGAAGAGAATCATCATCAGTTCATTAAATGGCAAAACATGCGCATGACTAAGCTATCTTTCTGAGTCAGTCTCTACTACGTTATTTCAGAGGCATGCCAATGAAAAAAAATACAACCAAACTAAATAAACTACAAATTGGAACAGAGGCCAAACAGAATGAAACTAAAAAACCAAGACCAGTATGAACAGACATTCTATCTGGTGCATCGAACATGCGCTCCACAGAGTGAAATCACTGAACACAGACAGAATAGAAGGAAGGACAGGCAAGCACTTCACTGAGTGAATCAAGAAGAAAAAAAATCTAGAAATCAAGTCAGCCCTGAGTGGGGAAGGGAGGGGGAGGGGGGGTAGTGGAGGTGGAGGAAGAAATCATTAAACAAAAATTCAAATTCCATCAGGCCTCAGGCATGTTTCTACATGAAACACCATGGCAAACCAAAATGCACCGTTCAGCACAGAAACAGGTCTGAAGTTGTCAGCAAACAGGGAGAAAATGTGAAGAATCATGCATCATCAAAGGCCACTTACACTGACACAAACAGACAAATGCAAGGAAAACTACACGGCCACAGAAGGAACCTGATTATTTGGTGAACATTCCACAGCACGACATGAAGACCAAATGTCAAAATCAAAGACGAAAAAAAAAAAGATGATGCGTGAAGGAAAAAAAAAATGCAAACTAGAACAAAACCATAGATGTAGCGTAAAGAAAGACTTGTGAACCAACCTCATATTCAAATTGGTTTCATGAATTCACCACTCTGGCCATTTCAAAGTGCTTCTTCGTTTTTGGTACGTTTTTTTTCTTTTGTTTTGAAAACGAAACTACGCCGTCTATTTGTTTTAAATGTGTTCAACTGATCGTGCCCACCCATTCTCATTTCAAGAATTTAAGGAAAGTGTTTGATGTGTGAGCGGAAAGCACAAAACAGGAGTAAATATTTGTCTTTGTTTTGCACGCACTCATACACACGCACACACGCGCACACACACACACACACACATTTGCCAAGGGAAAAATTCGTATTGCAAAAAGCAAAGAACCCAAGCCCTCTAGAGCAGTGGAGTCCGGCATTTATGAGATCACACTACTTTTTATTCACAGCCTTCATTTTCAGTCTCGCCACTGAGATATATATGAACATTTTTATTGGCAACACTTCACATGAGAATCTAGAAACATTTCTGCTGTCATAGACCAGTATTCATACAGTACATAGTATCAACATTTTCCCACAGAATGCAATGGTCTACAGGATATCACTAAGTTAACATTACTGCTATTGATCAGATCACAATCTTTGCAGTGGGAACAACAAAATAGGAGCCCTGGACACCACCCACTTGTGGTGAGGGGAGTACGTGTGCAGTGTGACGTTCCAGTGTGGGGTGGGGGGTGGGGTTGTGGGGCATCATTGACTTACTATTTATAGATCTAGTATAGTTAGTCAATGTGGGGGATAGAGGAGTGGGGCATAGCACATGGTCACACGTAATTAAGCCATTTCAGCTTCAGCTGACTGAGCTGATCTATAGATGAATGTACACACTACACATGAGCTGGCTGTTATTTCAGTGAACCCTATAGACAAAAAGGTTGATGATGATGTGCGGGCAGACATTTGAACATTATATGTATTTTTTTTCCTGCTTGACATATGTTTCTGTCTAAATCTAAAAGAGCTCTATGAAATGCCAGAGGGTTTAGTAGCTTTTGGAAGATGGTATACCTGTGAGAGAAAAAGGAAAGAGAAATAGAAACTAAGGGATACATATCATACAATGCTACAAATGAGGGTGACCTATCCACACACACACACACAAACACACACACAGACACACACACAAAGACAAAGATGAGGGGAGAGTGAGCAAGTAGCACAGAGACACGTGTGAATGTGCTCGTCGAGACACTCAGAACAAAGGGAGGTAATGAGGGGACAATGGTGACGATTGACTTATTATTAAAACATATTGTATCTATGTTGGTAATGTTATTGCAGACAATTCTATAGCTTTTCTGGAAGGAAACTTTTCATGAGGCTTCCATCAACAACACACTGCTACCAATATTAGGAAGAGATTGTAAGCAAAGCCTAGCCACACTCTTTCCCCATCTCTTTTACAGAAAACCCCCCCATTAAAAATATATCATAAAAACCAACCTTACCCCCTTCAATTAATTAATATAACACACAACCCGAAAGGTGCTAGTTAAGGACAACTGTATATCTTTTCAATTCTGAGTACAACAGAAAAGTTTGAAGTTACTTCTTTTCTTGTAGCGGACAAAAGAACAGTCACTCCTCTAAAATAATATAATAAATTGAATTATAAGAAATGATCTATAACGATGAAGAGCAGCAGAATTTTGAATAATCTCTTTTGAACCCCCCCCCCCCCCCCAACAAATCTATCAATGTCCTAGCATCCGTCCATCATCCGAGGTCACTACATCAACAGAAGATTCCATTCCCCTCGACTAGTAATGTTCATGAGAGTTATAAATGTATTGGACATTATTATATACACATTAAAGAGAACAAATAGGCGAACAACAGAAGACTGGTAAGACATGGGACAAAATAAATAATTTGAAGCCTTAGCTATAAAACAATTCGTTCTGTTACGATGTTTTGTACTAAATTCCTTGATGAAAAGTCACTATTAATAGCCCTTGGTGAAAACTAAATCTAGAACCCCCCCAAAAAAAACTTGTTCAAAGAAGAAACATTTTTTGGAGAGGGACAATAAGTACGGTGAGTATGGGGGTATAAATGTATGGAGGTATAAATGATAATTCATAAAAAGCGCAAAATGCTATTGTAATGGCTCATCTACTTCTTTGCTTAGGACGCATGTCACAATGCAGTGAATGTAAATAAACTTTGAAAACAGTATTGAAGAAACTAGTAACGAAATAAAAGTGATTAATTACATAAATATGCAGAGGGACCAAAGGATTCTGTGCAGGTAATATCAGAAAAATCATTTTGAAAAACTGAACATGTGCATCAATAGTTAAGACTTCAAAAGAACACAATGAGCATATTATGAGAAAAAAAAGTGAAGCATGAAACCATAAAGAAACGTGTAGTAAGTCACTTGGATATGTGAAACTTCACACTTTAGGATACAAAAAAAGCAGTCAAAACAATTCGGGTTTCATTCCCAATGAGTAGCAACTGCGATTACACTCAATGCCGATAATGATTCATTAGAGATGCTATCTCCACAATGCACAAAACATCTATACAAAGTTATCTATACAAATTCTGTCTTCAATTTAAACACCAGGAGCCTCCGCAACAGCATGACTTATTTTGTTTCATTGCCAGAACAGCAGCAAACCGATGCCTACTCGTGCTAAGTTCAGAGAAAACACATTCACCCACAAGGTTTTATTACCACAGTACGAGGAATTCACAGACTTCCACTACTGGATAGAATATTTTTCTACAATCAGGGGACATTTTTGGGGGGCATAAACAAAAATCTCACAGACTACTGTACGGACACGAGTGGCGCAAAGACCGTAAGTCTAGCAAGGCACTACACTCCAAAGTAAGACTCGACTGCTACGCCAGAAAACAGAGCAATCAAAGACAAAGGATAACGGAAGGTTTCAAAGCCCAAACTTTTTCCCAACTTTTTTTCTTGACCAAATAGTGTCTCAAATCCCACTAAGAAACAATGGTAGTTGCCCACAGAATACATGAACACAACATGGCAGAAAACGGACTGCTTTTCAGACAAACACCTGCACATAAGTCTTGAATAAAGAGACCAGAGGGTGACACGATATAATGTACACTAAGCAGAAATGGAGACAGGGCGAGTATAAGTGGATGAAAACCAAAACATGTACATACATACGTATCAAGACATAATGACAACACAACCGTTCACATACTTTTGGAATGTCTGCCTTTTGATTTGTTACTGACGGAAGAGTCTGACTTCTTCAGGGAAGTTCCGTGGTTGGAGTTTTTCCTGGAGGAAGCCTTTGAGCCAGCCTTGAGGCGGCCCACGGTCAGGTTCACTTTGCCCATTAGGGTCTGCAGAGAACATGGAAAAATGTCAGTCAGTCAGTCACTGAATCTGTGAGCAGGTCTGTCTGAAGGTAAATCCCTCGTCAAATAACATGTAAATATTCTCTGGAAAGAATTTTGAACTAAAGCGCTGAAGAACGGGAGTAGATCTAGTGAATTTGGTTTTTTTTTCAAAATAAAATTCTATTGCTCAGAGTAAGATTCCGTCATTTGTCACTTTTAAAATGATATATGTGAGGCAGCGTGGTGAAATCAGGCACTCGTCAAAATAATGAAATCAAAGAAACCAGCATTTTCTGGCCACTCGCCAAATTTTTTAAAAATTTCTTTTTGTTGGTTCAAGACCTTTTATGCTCATTTAAGAACATATTTATGTGTGGATTTCATAGCTACAAAAAAAGTAAATTTCCAGTATTCAAGACCTCTCAAGCTTTAGAAGTCACGTAACATTGGCAGTCATTTCCTCGCTAATTATACCTCTGAGACCAAGCCACCCCTACTCCTTCAATTACAAATAACTAGACTTTTATTCAAGATAAATGGGTATTTTTTTTCGTTAAGTGCAAGACAAATGAACAAGCTATAAGACAATACTAATAACTACGTATGCTAAAAAGTTGAGGAGCACCTGATTCCATCGCGCCGTGAAACATATGGTGACTGACTGAAATGTTTTACACTCCCATCAGCACAATTTAGATCATTTAAGAGAGGGGATGGGAAGGGGTAGGGCAGCTTCAACCCTGATGATTGAGGGCTAACCCCAGAAGAGTGGAATAGCAAACAGATGAAGATATGTAATAATCAATTATCTCCCTCTTGAAAACTTGAGCTCATGTCTTCTGGAACCAAAAGCAAAGAGCTTAACAGCTACAACTTAAACATGGTGTGAAGCGAGAGAAGTTCCTTCCTCAAGAACTGGGCTCATATCTTCTGCTTCCAATAGCAAAGAACCAAACTGCTACACCACAGACACTGAGTAAAGCTACAGAAGCAGTTACCTTGAGCACAGCTGCAGCATACTCCTGTGTGGAACTTCTCATGTCTTCGCTGTTGACTGCCAGAATCTGGTCTCCTTGCATGAGGCGACCGTCAGCTTCGGCAACTCCTCCTTTCACCTTTGATAAACATCATTTACATCAGTAAAACAAATGCCCATCCACAAAGTGTTCACATTGTTGAACCTACTCTAATGGCCACCTGTCCAAAATAAACACCTGCAATATACATTGTTTGTTTCAGTAAAACAACTGCCCATCAACAAAATGTTAATGATCTAATATGTATATTGTTTGTATCAGTAAAACAACTGCCCATTAACAAAATGTTAATGATCTAATGGCCATCTGTCAAAGACATTCACCTATCCTTAAAACCACTTTTCACTACCCTATGTGCAAAGATTATTGTGTCTTGCTCAAGGAACACACCAGTGACCACTCATCTGAGCCCCACATGCTTGACTCATTATTTGCGAGTCTGAACTCACTAACCACTCAAGCAATATATCGTTAGCATCATTCTGGAATCTAAAGTTGGCTCTACGGGATACAGGTGTTCGGGTTTAACATCCATTTCAACACTGTTAGCTTATTTCAGAGGCCAGTTCTCCGAATTTAAAATCAAATTCCAATAGGACAGCACCAAATGGATTGAAAGCCTTGAAACCTCCACAAAATAACCAAAGTTCAAAGATGCCCAGCTGGGAAGTCCATTCAAGGCCATCTGTTCCATGCTACAGTGTGATAAGACCTGAGCTGACAGAGTGCTCTCTGTCTCCACAAACATAGGCCTACATACAAACATAGGCCTACATACAAACATAGGCCTACATACAAACATAGGCCTACATACAAACATAGGCCTACATACAAACAAATAGTCACCTCACAATCAGAAAGTTCTATCTGCTCAGTACCCAGTTTTGAGAAATATGACCACAAAGAGTTTGAGCTTCACAACATGTCAAGCTTTTTCCAATGCAATTCTTTGACTATCATGATAACGACTCCGAATAATCTTACGATTTTAACAGAGCAAATAGAACATTTGGTTTCTAACCTCATGGACATAGTAACTCAAAACTGCCAAAAATGTCAGATTGAACTTCGTAATTCTGAGGTAGCGAAATGACTTACAATGTCTGATATGTAGATTCCCACGTCGTTCTTCTTTCCCACAATGCTGAGCCCGAGTCCTTTGCCCGGCCTCTTGACCAGGTCGACGGAGAACACGTCCAATATGTCTTCCTCTCTCACTTGACTCTCGTCACGATAGACAGCCATCTTGACGATGGGTGGGGTTTGTCGGAGGACCTGAAGAGCTCTGTTGTGTGTTGCCTCCGTAAGATCTTCCTCATTAACCTGCAAACAAAGCAAGATAAAAATACAGTTAAAGAAATAGAAAAGAAATTTGAATGCTTAGTGTAAGACTCTACCATACACCATTTTGAAAAGTGACGTAAAATGGAGTCTTAAAAAGAGCAGTCAAAATGATTTTGACTTATTGAAACACTGGCAATAGTAATAACTCTTATTTCAATTATTCTCTGCATAATAGCTCTCTTGTAAATCAACTAATTTTGATAGCTTTGAAAGGGTAAAGTATAACTTAGGCAAAAACATACAAGTACAGATCCTTATCGTCCACAGAAATGCACCCATTTTCACAAATAAAGAGAAATGTGAGGCAGCGTGGAGGAATCAGGCTCTCGTCAAAATAATCAAAAAGAAGAAACTTGCATTTTTCCGCAGGTTTGTGAATTTTTATCAAATTTTTGTTTTTTGGCTCAACACCTTTCATGCCCATTAAAGAACTCATTTCTGTGTTGATTTTTCTGAAAAACGTAGATTAAAGGCACAAAAAAATGTAAATTTTCAGTTACCACGGACTCTTAAGCTAAGGAAATAACTAATCTTTGGCGGCCATTTTCTCACTAATTTTACCTCTGAAAACAGGTGACCCCCACCTCCTTCTTTGGCAAATATCTCGACTTGTATTCAAGACAAATGGATATTTTTTTCATCGAAATAAAGTAATTGAACAAGCTTTAAGATAATACCAATTGCTCTACATGCCCAAAAATTGACGAGAGCCTGATTCCACCATGCTGCCTCACAAATGTACTTGCTTGTCATGACTTAATCTGGATCAGATGTATCAACATATGGATCAGTAACACGATGAACTAAAATTGAACAATAAGAACAAAAGAAAAAATTGAGTGGAAAAACCCCCAAAATTTCCTAACCTCTAACATTCTGTTAATGTGACTAGAAAAAATTATGCCACTGCAGAATAAGATAAAGTTTAAAGCTTCAAGCACCTTTCGAGACTAGCCACAAAACAAGAAGGAATCCTAACTTTTAAAATCATGTCATGTACCTGGTACATATCAATAACTTTGAAGTGCAATATCATCATCATCATCAATGCCTTTCACCTCTGGCAGGGTATAGGCCACATACAAGCTCCTTCCATTTATCTCTGTCCTGAGCCATCCTTCCAAGCTCGTTCCAAGTGAGCTTCATTTCTCTCATGTCCCTTTCCCACCCATCTCCTCCATGTTTCCCGTGGCCTACCCCTGCCTCGTGCTCCTTGTGGGTTCCACTGCAGTGACTGTCTTGTGATGTTTCCGCTGGGCTTTCTTAAGGTGTGTCCCATCCATCGCCACTTTCTTAGTCCTATTTCTACTTCTATATCCTTTTGTCCTGTCCTTTCCCACAGCTCTTCATTTCTTATTCTATCCTGCCACTTAATTCTTAGAATACTCCTCATACATCTGTTGATGAAAGTCTGGACTTTATTCAGTACTGTTTTCCTTGTCTTCCAAGTTTCGCAGCCGTAGAGGAGCACAGACTTGACGTTGGAGTTAAAAAGTCGAATCTTGAAAGTGCAACATAAATGTAACAAAATTTGCTAAACAATGTGAGCATGATAATGTGACATCATTGTGCGACCTCAGTGCTTTCTTGTCATATCTCCTTTTTTAATAACAGTGAAAACTGTTCATAACAAAGAAGTTTAGTTTAGTTTTAATAAGAGTTTTACGGCACTTGCTACACAATAAGGTCATATAAGTGCCGATGATTAGAGGTGTTACAAGAGAGTAACAAACACAAAAAAGGAGGAGAGGTCAGGACGATAGATGTTCGGTAGGAAAGAAGGAGCAAACCACACCACAGCACCCGCCAACCACCCACTTATAACAAAGAATGAGCTTAAGAAGAAGTCACATTTTTAATGATTAAAAAAAATGGAGATACGACAAAAAAGCACTAAGGTCATGACTTATTTGTCAATTACTTCAAGGATTTGATCTCCAGCCCACAGTCTTCCGTCTCTGGCTGCTGCTCCGTCTTCATAGACCTCGTGGATGATGATGGCACCCTGGAGAAGAGGAAAAAAGAAAAGTGAGTTATACGGTAACACGGCCAAGATTACCATGACTGAGAGATAAAAAGAGAGAAGCCGGAGGAAGTAGATTGTTGTTTTACTAAGGGGCAGGGGGGGGGGGGGAGCCGGAGGAAGAGCAAGGGAGGGTGATTGAGAGTACATGTACGTGTTTACCTGTCTGACCAATACTATCATGATCATGTAACAGGCAGACTGCCTCATCCCCCCCCCCCTCCTCTCTATCTCTCCTCAAATCCCCCTTCCATCTCTCCTCAACTCCCCCTTCCATCTCCCTTCTCTTTTCTCTGCATCCTCTCTCCTTTCCTCCCCCTTCACTCTTTGTCTCCTCCCTCCATCCTTTCTTTCCTCCATCCCTCCCTCTTTCCTCTCCTCTCCTCACCTCCTCCCTCTCCTCTCCCTTTTCTCCCCCCCCCTCTCCTCCCCTCCCCCCTCTTTCCTTTCCTCTCCCTCTCCTCCCCTCCTCCTTCTCCTCTCCCCCCTCTCTCCTCTTCTCCCCCTTCACTCTTTGTCTCCTCCCTCCATCCTTTCTCTCCTCTCCTCCCCTCCTCTCCCCCCCCCCACATAAATCCCCACAACACAAGGACTCACCAGCAGAGTATCTGAACCACCCACAATGCTGAGTCCCAGTCCTGTCTTGCCCTTCTCTATCTCTATGTACGTGCGTTTCCCCAGGACTATGGGACAGGTCCGAGGGTCGCCGTCATTTTCTGCATCTCCCGGGTCAGTGGTGGATTCTCCTGAGAAACAAAACATCACGAGGGCGGTTGAAAAACAAAATTTAGGAGAAGACATCACATGACTAGATGAAAAAAAAAATTCTTCAGAAAATGTAAGTGTTTTCATGCCCCCATTAACACAGTTTCAATAATTCAGGAGCCGCGTTTCTGACCCTGCCTGTCTGGGCCAATTCGAGCTGAGAGGTACACAGTATCCCATCAAAAAGACCAAGATACTTGATAAAAATGTTCTCCACTTCACGGAATAGAACTCAGGTCTGCATGAAACAGCAAAACCTCTAACTGGTACATGAAAACTGTAGGAAAAAACCTCACAATCGGCACTTTCCAAAACAGGCTCGAAGAGAACATTGTTGCAAAGTTGCAGAATCCACAAAACAAGCACCACATTTTAACTCGTACGGTTGTAAACGCACGTTGACCTACCCAGTGTGTTGAGCAGCTGCATTTTGTTCTGAGACGAACCCGAGTTGGCCACAGACGCAGACCCCGGCACAGTTCCCTGATTCACTTTGCGAACTTTTAATCTCACGGATCCCTGGGCGGCTCGCAAGATGTCTATAGCCTGTGGGGAGCAAAGAAATAAATGTATATATAAATCTTCATTGCTATAGAACACAAACAGTAAATAGTTTCAGAAACATGTCCAAGCACTTATTTCAACAGTTCCTTCCAATACCTCTGTCATTTGGTGAATGAATCAACCAACAAGTTCAACAGTTTCAGAGACCAGGAACAGATCAACAAAAGTTCAACAGCCGCAGCAATCTAATCCATTACAACTTCCAACTACTTGTGACAAGCATTATTATGAAAAACAAAAGATGTACGAAAATATTTAAAAAATAGAAACTAAAGTATGAATTAATATGAACACTAAAAACATACTAGCAAATTCTTCCTTTTCCACGCAGTAGAAAATTAAATTAGGAAAAAGTTATAAATTTGTAACTTGTTATAAAAACCAGCGACATGACTCTTTGGTATGTACATAGTAAAGATCTAAATATGTAGAAAAAATAACAATGACATTTGCACAGCATTTGATTCTTCCATTTCAAAAAGAATTTCAAGTTGCACGCTTTTTGCATAGCTGCATATCTAATACAGGATAACCTTTACAAATCCAACAAACCTTGTCATAGTGCAGGCCAGATAAACTTTTCTCTCCAACTTCTAAGATTTCATCTCCAACTTCCAACTGGTTGTCCTGCAAAAAAGTGAAATGTTCTTAATGATAAAACAAACTGAAGAATCAATTATTTTCCAAAGAGGTGAACAATAATATTATCTATCCATCACATAAAATATATATTTGGCAAAACGTATGACAAGTTAAATTTTTGGGAAAAATTCAATACAAACAAGTAAAGATGATAAAACAATGACATTTGCTGGCATCTTGATGAAATGGTTATACCCACACAAAAGACGAAAATTCAATTCTCACGTTTTTACGAGGGGAAGCTTATATATCTGTATTTTCACCTTTCATAATACTGCATTTTGTGAACAGGAACTAGTACAAATGTAGTAAAAACAGTAAGTGCACCAGACCTACCTTGTCAGCAATACCCCCCTGAGTTATGCTCTTGACATAGATCCCATGTCTGTCGTTCTTTGTGTCCTCCTGAATCCCAAATCCAAGGCCTTGTGATCCCAACTGTGAGGGGAAACAAGAACACACAGAACATCATTACACATGATATTATTTCAGTTATTCTCCTATAGCTGCATGCTTTTTAAAATCTTACTGTCTGTCTTTCCTTCGTTTTATTCTAGCAAAGGTTTTAAGCATCTTGCAATTTAATAAAGTCATATAAGTGCTGAATTGAAGATTAGAGGTATTACCAGATAGTTTGCTTTGTTTTAGTAAAAGTTTTACGGCATTTGCAACACCAGAAGGTCATATAAGAGCTGAAGATTAGAGGTGTTACAAGAAAGTAACAAACACAAAAAAGAAGAGGAGATAAAGACCGATAGATGTTTGATAAGAAAGAAGGAGCAAACCACACCAGAGGGTCAACAACCCCCCCCCCACTCTCTTTCCTTCTCTTTGTTAAGTAGTTAATCGAAAACTGACTATGATTGAGCAGACGTCTTATGGTACTATCGTCAAAATTTTGTGCATGTAGGTGCAAAAACGTAGGAAACTGTCTACAGAGTGTGTTTAGAAGAGAATCAGCAGAAAGCACATTTGCTCAGAGGCATTCTGTACTCAAAGATTATGTGACAACAATTAGAGTATAAAAGAAAATTTTGTTTTAAAAGAAGCACTTCTTTCTTCTTTTGCACCCCGTATTTAATGTACAGTTTTGCCCAAACTCGTCCAATAACAAGGTTGGAAATAGTCTCAAATAAAAAATTAAAAAATGAAGCGGTAATCGAGGAATAAGTTACACTAAATGTAGACGTCGATCACTGGAAACACATTAAATACATTATAGTAATAAGCCTCACTGAATGTACTAATGCAAACCACAATCTGTTGTTTCGTGATAAATGTTTAAATAACTGATTTCAATGATCTGCTAATTATTTACTGAGACTTACTTATATTTAACATTTCATTACATTGGTCAGACATCGCAGGCTTTATCCTTCTACATGACAACCACAACGCTGAAAATGATATCTTCTACTTTGCTTTGTTTCAATAAAAAGACGCATGTCGACACGATAACAGTCATCTAGTGTAGGGTGAAAGCAAGACAGATAGATAGATAGATAGATAGATAGATAGATAGATAGATAGATAGATAGATAGATAGATAGATAGATAGATAGATAGATAGATAGATAGATAGATAGATAGATAGATAGATAGAGAGAGAGAGAGAGATAGAGAGAGAGAGAGGGGGAGTGAGGGGGAGAGAGAGAGAGAGAGAGAGAGAGAGAGAGAGAGAGAGAGAGAGAGAGAGAGAAAGAGACAGACAGACAGACAGACAAACAGACAGACAGACGGACAGACAGACAGACAGACAGACAGAAAAAACAACAGAGGAAAAGAAAACAAGTATAAGACCTAGCAGTGGCGCCCTCCAACAACCCAGACATTGGTAGAATTAACTCACGTATTGTCAGCCTCCTATATGCGAACACACACAACACTTACAACAATGCCCGAGCAAATCACAACACGCACATTTTTAGAATTCAAACACAAGGACCAGAGGTATGTAACACCCGCAGTTTTGTCACACATAAAGCACAGCAGAAATGGGCTATTCCACGGTAAAGGAAGGGGCAGAAAAAATACCTCATTACATATATGTATTTTGTTCCGTCAGTTGCCGAAAGTAAACGCGACACAGAATTTGCATAATGTACGTTTTTTTCAAATGACTGAATTTAATATGATTCTTTTAATTTATATATCTTTCAAATGTTCTGATCATTTAAAGTTGAAATAAATTTAATTGATGCTGAATTACAGTGCAATCATTGTTATTGTAAGAAAGTATAGTTCAAATGTCCTGTCAGTTTTTTAAGTTTTCGTAAGCGTATAAGGTCATAAAAGTGCCAAAGAATAGATGTGTTATAAGAGAGTAACATACACAAAAAAGAAGGAGGAGAGATAAGGACGATAGATGTTCGAAAGGAAAGAAGGAGCAAACCACACCAGAGCACCCGCCAACTACCCACGTTCTACCAGTTACCGTGGAATTGCCCAAAAGAAATGTAAAAGACAGAGCGAAGAAGGGCGTTCCGTTCCACAACACCAAGGGAATGTGGACGACCGAAACAAGCGCACGGGCGGGCAGTACAGAACAGTACAGTACAGTGAGGACTGTTGAACCCACCCTCAGGGGGGCGGGGGTTGAAGAAGAAGATCACACGAATAGAGGGGGAGAACAATCTCGACTCGATAACCCACTAAAACCCCCTAAGTCTATAGAAAGGATTACAAGGGGATCAGTGTAGCACAAAAATTGCCGAACCAGTGACGAAAACAAACAGCTGTGGGGGGGGGGGGGGGGAAGGGGGGCTCAACAACACAGTAGCCCCAAAGGACAGAACGCAGCCACTTTGTCTCTCGGACCGTGAAGCCGACAAGACGCTGTTGTCTCGCCACTTTCTGGCCGTCTAAAAACAGCACACGGGAGGAGCCCTTAAAAAAAGTTTTAGTAAGAGTTTTACGGCACTTTGCAACACAATAAGGTCATATAGGTGCCGAAGATTAGAGGTGTAACAAGAGAGTAACAAACATAAAAAAGAAGGAGAGATAAAAACGATAGTTGTTTAATAGGAAAGAAGGAGCAAACCACACCAGAGCACCCGCCAAACACCCACGAGGAACCCTTGAGAACCACAACCACTTAATTTTTAGTTTAGTTTTTAGTAAAAAGTTTTACGGCACTTGCAACATAATAGGTCATAATATAAGTGCCGAAGATTAGAGCTAGGTGTTACAAGACAGTAACACACACAAACAAAGGAGGGGGAGATAAAGATGATAGATGTTTGAAAGGAAAGGAGCAAACCACACCAGAGCACCCGCCAACCACCCATTATCACTTATGTAATCGATGGCATTTGTTGTGAGAGAAGCACATCGACGCGATAGTAAGGGCTGTAAAGAGTAAGATTCACAGACAGAAACAGAAACAGAAAGAAACGGGCGCACCATTAGCTCAGTTGGCATCACGCTGGGCTTCGGAGAGAATGGATGTGGTTCAAATTCCCAACAAGGTTCTCTGAAGACGTAGGTTGTAGTGAGGAATTTTAACGTTCTCCGCCCATTTGGCCTAGTCTTATCGGAGACGGACGTCTGTTTAATTCCATTGGAGCTCTAAAATAACTTTTCAGCACTAAAATGTATGTTCAACCTTGCAATGGGGACAGGCACCCCCCCCCCCCCCCCAGCAACAACAACAACAAACAATCAAACAACAATAAAACCCCACAAAAACAAACAAACAAACATACAACAACAAACAAAAATACCCCCCCCCAAAAAAAAAAAACAACAACAAAAAAACAAACAACAACAACAAAAAAACAACAAAAATCAAATAAACAAAAAAAAAATATTAAAAAAAATAAATAGTGCCTTCAAGGGGCACCCCGACGCATTTAAGCAATCGATGAACGGAACGGTGAGAAGAAACAACAGCAAGAGAACAGTGGCTCTGTTCCCCCTAAGTAGGCCGACTGAGTAAAGAGAAACACATTAACGTGGTAATGGCCCTACCGCGCAGTAACACAGCACGACACACAGACAGACAGACAGACAGACACAACGGAGGAATGACACATAATGTAGAAACAACTGAGAAAAAGAAAAGAATTAGTGCAGAGCCAGTCAGTGGCACCCTCCAACCTCCCTATCACTCGCGCACCAACTGACTAGGACTAAGAGGAGGAGAAAGCCATTGGTATGAAAGTAAGGAAACGACTTTCAGCTTTAGTAAAAGTTTTACGGCACTTACAACACGATTAGCCATATAAGTGCCCAAGATAAGTTTTGTTTTAGTAAAGTTTTACAGCGCTCACAACTGCATTAGGTCATATGGGCGCCAAGGGGTAGATGTCAACAGAAAAGTCTAAACGGGGAATCAGGCATATTATTCTGCTCACCTCTGTAGCCTCAACAGCACAAAGTCTGATTCGACTATCAAGACACCCCGGAAATAGCAGTTCACAAGAGAGTGACAAACATACAAAAGAAGTAGAGGAAAAGGACGACAACAAGGATGAGGAAAGAAAAAGCAACAGTTCCCCACTATGCTGTTCCGGCACAGTATGAGCATGGCATTGATAAATCAGCCCATTAAAAATTCTACTGTGCATATGAACATGTCAATATCCCCCCTTTGGGAAGAGTCTAAAGACAACTTCAGTCAGTAGCACTGCCCTGGTGGAGGGAAGATTAGATGTCATAATTATAAGACAATAACAAACACAACAAAAAAGGCGGAGAGATAAGGACGACATAATACGTTTGATAGGAAAGAAGGAGCAAGCCGCACCCGCCAACCACCCACGAAAAAAAAAAGAAAAAAGAAACCACAACCAAACCTTGACCACAGTACAGTCCGCTCCGGCACGAAGGGACGATGAAATATGGCTCCATCGAGAGCAATTGACGAGAGTTTCGGGTGGGAAGGGGGAGAAAAGAGGGACAGAATTAGCGTACGGGCAACTCTTGGGCCGCAACATCGGGGATTCCTGAATCAATTGCAGTCTGGCATCGATACCGCCAGCATAAGCGTGGGAAAAAACAAAACGGGAGTTGTTGGTCCTTTCTTGGGCGAAAGACTGTAACAGATGCCAGTCTTTTCTCGGAGGAAAGTCTTTGTTGTGTAAAGATGTAAAGATAAAC